AAAAAGAGAAAAGCCGTCTCTTAACAGAGGAGGAGGCCTCAGATTTCAACTTTCAAAAACATATAATGCAACTTTAAAACTGATTCCCAGCCGGTTTTCACACCTGATGGGAACAGAGAGGCCTCGTCTGTGAATTAGAGGAACAAAGACCTACTGTTTAGGTTTTTAGGTGTGAACTGCCAATCTACATATATGTGTGTGTGTGTGTGTGTGTGTGTGTGTCTTATCTCACTCAGCCTTATAACTTGTATCTCTCACTCTCTGCTCTTTGAATTGAGAAAGCTCCTCGGATGAGGAGCGAAACATCTTCTGTTACAAATAAAGTCCAGTTGTTTTTGTATTGAACGCTTTTTGAATTCATCATGTCCTGGATGCCTGAGAATCTTCACCAGCATATTAAGAGATGTTATAGATACTGATGCTGTAGGCAGGAAGGATCTCTTGTAAAGGTCCATCCCACAGTGGATCCTAAGAAAATGGCTGCAGATGCCGTTCGATCCGTCCACCCAGACTCGGCTGGCCTCTCGGTTCCCCCGGGCTATAGGACCACCTGAATGCCGGGCAGAACTCCTCCCAGAGCGATGGCCACTCCTCCCAGCAGTCTGCCGAGCTCCTCATAGCTGCGGACAGCTAACTGTAGGTGCCGAGGGACGATCCTGTCCTTCTGCTGTCATGACCCGTGTTTCCTGCTAGTTCCAGGATCTCAGTGGTCAGGCACTCGAGCACAGCTGGCAGGTAGATGAGGATGCATCCACAGAACATCCTTTTCAACTCATTTGAGATTTGGGACTGTAGTTAAGATATTATTTGATCTTTTGAGATGTTAATCAGCTGTTGGTTGTAGAAAACTGCCTTGTTGCCATGGTTACGCATCATAACAAATGTCCAAAACTTAAAAAGGTTCAGTAAAAATCCTTCCAGCTGCACAGCATCTGATACCAGAGGAAACAATCATCCAAAAAATGTGACTTACATCCAGAAAAAGAGGAATTAAAGTTTCCAAAAGCAAAATCTCAGAATGAAATAAAAGAGCTGCTCCAACATGCAGCCACCTTGTGCAGCCTGGGTTACTTCTGAAGTAGATTTATTTATTTATTTATTTATTACAATATTTCAGAAAAAAATTGTTACTTGAAACTTATGTCACTTAAAGGTTATTTAATAGCTAACTAAAAGTTAAATAACATTTTTTTTAAATGTAAAGACTCATTTTCGTGTCTTTTTATCTTCATTGCAGCGTTCTTCAAGCCATCCGGAAAACGGTCTGTGACTGGGAGTCTGGCCGGGAGCCCCACAACGACCCCGCCCTACGCGGAGAAAAAGATCCAAAAGGAGGATTTGACATTAAGGTCCCTCGTCGAGCTGTGGGGCCCTCCAGCACTCAGGTGTCAGCTCAACACCGCATATTTATTACTTTTACATATCAGGCAATACACCGTCATCCTTGGACTACAGAACACACACAGTCTAAGCTGCACATACGAAATATAAGATAAATCATAATTTTGTACATAAATAAGATTCTCTGGTTATTAAGCCACAGGCATCCACTGTTCATTATCAGAATGGTAAATGGTAAACAGACTGTACTTATACAGCTCCTTTCTATCTGATCCAGATACTCAAAGCTCTTTACACTACAATCTGTGCCTCATGTACCCGTTCATACAGCTCTATACTAGATCTCTACAGAGACTAATCAGAGCTTTATCACATTCATACACTGATGGGACACACATCAGAGGCTTTGAGGGGTTCAGTGTCTTGCCCAGGGACACTTCAGCATGTGACTGCTGGTGGATTCGAACCCCCAACTCTCACATTGGAGGACGACTGCTCTAACCACTGAGCCACAGCTGCCCAGAATCTGTGTCCATCTCCAGCATAAGGTGCAGCTTTCTTGTTGTAGAGCAAGAATGAACCACTGGATGACGTTTCACAAAGTACAGCTTGATTTCAACACACGTTCAGACTGCATGATCGTCACAAGTCTTCATGAAGCTTCGCTGTCTGACTTACGCTTACAACCATTCAACCTACAAAATGAACACAGTAACTAAGTAAATATTATCTAATAGCTATCTATCATAATCACTGGACAGAACAGTGCCAAACACCTGCGTAACCGAAATTATTAAAAAATTATGTACCGTTAAATATTACCCAGAAGTCTTATCGAGGTCATGTAACCATAAGTCAAAAAGTACCTGTAAAATATGATAAATATCCATTAAAATATTACAATTGATTTTTATTGTTAAACATTTTTGGTACCAGCTGCTGTTTTAAAATGTACTTTCTAAATAAATTGGACGTGATTTCTGAACAGCAGAGCTCATCTGAGGAGGAGGTGGAACAGCTCCTCCCTCTCGTTGTCTGCTCCACTCAGTTTCATGCTCCCGTTTAAGCTTAAATAACATACTGGTATTTCATTCAACCTTTATTTAGACCGATTAATCCTAGTGAGCCTCGGGGACTCATTTACAAGAGAGACCTGACAACATAAAAACTGACAACAGTGAGTAACAATGACAACAATAAACAGTCACAAAAGAGGCATACAAATGTATTTATTTATTTTGACAAATCAAAACAAAATATCAACCAAAAGGACAGTCAAAAGGAAAATTAGCAAAAAAAAACCCCAAAAAACAAACAAAAAAAAAACCAGCTAGATTATAAGGCGGTGTAGAAAACTAAAAGCAGGAACATGTTTGCACTGGTTTTTACCAGGAACGTAACAGATGTTTGAAGCCAGTTGGAGAGGTCAAGGTCGAGAGTTTCAGATCTTTTTGTGAGACATTCCAGGAAACAGGAGCGGAGTAGGAGAAGGTCCTTCTGCAAGAAGGGATTTAAAGATGAAAATGTACCAGTGGGAGAGTCTGCGTGAAGTTAATGATGTCCAGTTAACCAGTGAATACTGGGTGCAGTGGTGGGTATGATGATCACAGCCAGTTATGAATCTTAGTGCACCATGATAGACAGCATCCAACATCTGCAGCATCCAACATCTGCAGCATCCAACATCTGCAGGGTTCTTGTAGGAGCGTTCATGTAAATAATGTCACCATAATCAATTGAGGGAAGGAAAGTCACAGATACAAGGCGTTTTCTAGCATTCAGAGTTAGACATGATTTGTTTCTGAAAAAGAAACCCAGTTTAACTTTCAGTTTCTTTATCAAGTTTTCCACATGGAGCTTAAAAGAGAGATGTGAGTCGACCAAGATACCCAAATATTTATAGGAATCAACAAACTCATTGCGGACACCATTTGAGGATAAAATCGGAGAAAGAACTGCTGGACCAACTTCCTATTTGAAAAAAGCATCCCTTTGGTTTTGTCGGCATTTAGGACAAGTTTGAGGCGAAACAAATCTGTCTGGATGTAGTTAAATGCAGATTGCAAAGGCTGGAAAGCCTTAGCAACAGTTTTAGCTCGACAATAAACAACTGTGTCATCAGCATAGAAATGTATGGATGCATTAGGGATGTTTTTACCTACATTATGTATGTAGATTGTAAAGAGGGTGGGTCCTAAGACTGAGCCTTGTGGTACACCATTGTTAACTGTTAAATAACTGGAGGAAGTACCATTATGTTGAACACATTGCCTCCGGTCTGAAAGATAGTTAGAGAACCAACCAATGGCATGTTCTGAGAAACCAATTTCTGAGAGTTTATGACACAAGATGTTCTGATCCACAGTGTCAGAATCTTTAGACAGGTCTAATAAAAGTGCAGCACAATAATCCTTAGCATCCAGTGCTTCAACAACGTCATTAAGAACCTTCAGTGAAGCAGTGGTTGTGCTGTGTTGTTTCCTGAAACCAGATTGATGTGGAGGTAAGATGTTAAATGAGTCCAGGTCATTTTTGATTTGAGAGTTTATCAGTTTTTCTAGAACCTTGGCTAAAATGCAGAGTTTAGAGATTGGTCGATAGTTGTTCAGTGAGGTGGGGTCTCCTCCCTTCAGCAAAGGAAGAACAAAGGCTGTTTTCCAAGTGTCTGGGATGGAGTTTTGTCTCATGGAGAGATTGAAGAGGGTCACAGGGACTGTGATGATATGAGCAGCCAGCCTTAAGAAATAAGGTGGAAGTTCATCTGGACCTGCAGATTTTTTAGGATCAAGATCTTTTAACAGTTTATTGACCTCACTGACTGAGAATGGAGAAAAAGAGAAGCTGTGATTAACTGAGGGTTGACTTGTAGGAGGGATTTGATTTGTAGAAGTTTGGTTATTAGGGGAAGTGGTTGATCTTCCATTAGTAACTGTGTCAAATAAAGAACTAGAAGCAACAAAATGTCCAAATAGAGATTCAACATGTTATTACATTTTAAGCAATATAATATTTAATTAAAGCTGCAAGCTGCATTGGAGGCCCTCGCAGCAAAGCGCCACTCCAGCCTTACGCGACCGCGAGAGGTTCAGTCACTCCACCCAGTTGCCATCGCGAACGCTCTCGTGCCAATCCTGCACGTGTTCACCAGGGGGCACATTTCCTGAATCTTCAGTATCGCCTTCCGTCCATGTGAATCCTTGTCCAGCTGCAGATCTTACAAGTCTAGGCGAAATCCAACCTTCCAGACAGGAGTTACTGTGACTTTGTGTTTTATGGTGAATGTTTGACGAGCACTTCATTTATGCTTTTCAACATGTCATGTGTGGTAATCAACAGTTAGCAAATACGGTTTCAGTCTTATATCTTACACAGGGCCAAGCTGGAAGAGTCACCCAATAATCAACAGTTTATTCTCTGAGTGGGTGGGGCTTAAGTGATGTCATGATTGAACAATACGAATGTGTCTACAAGTGCTCACTGATGAAGCACCACAAATTTGGTGCAGATCAGATGATGTCCCAGACAGCAAAACATGATTGAATCAACATTGAAATATGGTTAGGCAGAAATACTGAATCAATGTTGAAGCCTGACATTGAAATTATACAGAAAGTGGTTGGTGACTTACACGTTGAATTAACGTTAGGTTTTCAACCATAACTGATACTATATCAATGTTGATTCATGTACATTTGATATTAAAATATTCAACTTTTTTCAAGCATTTACTATGTGAAGCCCATTAGAAAAGTTTAGTTTTCATTTCTGCTGATAGGTCTTCATCATCAGAGTCAGAGATTCTTTATTGTCATTCACACCTCATGTGGTACATGTGGTGGAGCGAAATTATGTTCACAGGGTCCCAGTTACATCCAACAATAAAATGTATAAGAAAAACAATGATGACATCTAAGATATGAACTAAGAAAAACATCAACTAAATATACACTAAGCACTAATAGCTTAAAAACATTACGTTGAACAGCAGCACAAACATGAGCATGAGTCTGTGAGCAGATGAGCACGCATGAACACATCAACATTGAAACACATCAGCAGCAACATGAAACAGATCAGCAGCAACATGAAACAGATCAGCAGCAACATTGAAACAGATCAGCAGCAACATGATGTGATTTTTCACAGTGATTATTCTAGTTAGAGATTCATGAGTCTAACAGCCTCAGGGTAGAAGCTGTTCCTCAGTCTAGTGGTTCTACACTTAATGCTCCTCAACCTCCTTCCTGAGGGGAGCGGGGCAAAAAGTGTGTGTGCTGGGTGAGTGGGGTCCTTAATGATGCTGGTGACCCTCTTCCTGCATCTGGAGGTGTAGATGTCTGTGATGGTGGGGAGGCTGACTCCAACATCTTCTGTGCAGCCTTCACCACTCTCTGCAAAGCTTTCTTTCTGCAGCTGTGCAGCCTCCATGCCACACGTTGATGCTGGGGCACAGGATGCTCTCCACTGCACACCTGTAGAAGGAGGTGAGGACTGAGCTTCCAGACCAGCTCGTCTCAGCCGTCTGAGGAAGTAGAGTCTCTGATGAGCTTTCTTGATCAGGCTGGTGGTGTTGTTGCTCCAGCTGAGGTTGTTGTTCAGGTGCACACCCAAGTACTTGTAGCTGGAGACTACTTCCACCACAGATCCTCTTATGTTCAGGGGGATGTAGGTGTGTTTGTTCCTTCTGAAGTCCACAACCATCTCCTTTGTTTTCTTCACATTGATGCGAAGGTTGTTCTCTTTGCACCAGCTCTCCAGGTGTTCCACCTCTTGCCTGTAGCTGGACTCATCATTGTTTGTGATGCATCCCACCACACCTGTATCATCTGCAAACTTTACAATGTGACAGCCTGGATGGGTAGCTGCACAATCATACATGAGCAGAGTAAACAGGAGGGGGCTCAGCACACATCCCTGAGGTGAGCCAGTGCTGAGGGTTATGGTGGAGGAGGAGAGGTTGTGGATCCTCACTAACTGTGGTCTGTTTGTTAAGAAGTCTAGTACCCAGTTACAAATGGAGGGGCTTAGTCCTAGTGTGGATAGT